TCATTATTTTCTTCTTTTTTCATTATCATTATTATCATACATGTTACTATCATTGTTATTATCATCATCATCATTATCATTATTATTACTATAATTATTATCATTATTATTATCATCAATATTATTATTATTACTATTATTATTATTATTCTGTTGTTGTTGTTATTGTTATTGCTATTACTATTATTGTTATTATTATCATTATCATTATCATTATTATTAATATTAATATTATTATTATTATTATTATTATTATCATTATTATTATTATCCTCATTATTATTATTATCATTATTATTATTATTATTACCATTAGCATTATCTTATTCTTCTCATTAATATTTTTATTACTTATTATCATTAACATTATTCTTGTTATTATTATTGTTTCCTCAATATTATCATTGTTTATATCATTATCACTGTTATTTTGTTATATCATTATTATTCATTTTTATTATTACTATCATTATTATCATTATTATTATTATTATTATTATTATTATTATTATTATTATTATTATTATTATTATCATTATTGTTATCATTATCATTATTCTTATTCTTATTCTTATTCTTATTATTATTATTATTGTTATTATCATCACCATTATCATTATTATTGTTATCATTGCTCTAATTATTATCATTATTTTTATTACCATTATTATTTTCATTATCATTATAATAATAATAATGATAATAATAATAATTATTAATATTATCTCTATAATAATGATGATAATAATAATTATTATTATTACTGTTATCATTATCATTATTATTATTATCATTCTTTTTATTACTATAATAATAGTTATTATTATTATTATCATTATTTTAAAATCATTACTTTGTTGTTATTTTGTTACTGTTATAATTATCATTGTTATCACAATCATTGTTATCTTTATTATTGTTAATGTTGTTGTTTTGATCATTATTATTATTATTATTATTATTATTATTATTATTATTACTATTATTATCCTTATTATTATCATTATTATTATTACTATTATTATTATTATCATTATTATTAATACTGTTATTGTTATCAATATTATTGTTATCAGTATCCTCATTATTATTATTATTATTATTATTATTATTGCCATTATTATTGTTCTTATTGTCGTTGTTGTTGTTATCTTTATGACTATCATTATTATTGCTACTGTTATTATAATAATAATAATAATGATTATTATTATTGTTATTATTATCATTATCAATGATACTATAGTTGTTATTATCATTATTGTTATTGTTTTTGTTATTATTATTATTATTATCATTATTATTGTTATTATTATTATTATTATTATTATTATTATTATTATTATTATTATTATTATCATTATTGTCATTATTATTTTCATCATTATGATCAACAGCATCAGTATGATCATTATCATCATTATCATTTTAGCGTTTTAGTATTAGTATTGTATGTTAGCCCATTGCCGCCGGGGATGGCATGTACGTCCATGCCATGCCCACTGTGAGTCGACTTGTTCGATTGTTTTTACACATAGATGGCTACACTTGTACTAAGTATCCGATGAGCCAATTACGAGTACTGCCTGTCTCGCCCGTTCACCCTTTTCATCGATTTACGAAAATATTTAACGTTATCCTAATTTGATGTTAAAAATAACACCATCTATATTTATAGCACTAGTAAAAATACGTATTTTCCCACCAATTCAAGGAAAGGTGAAATCAGGACTAGCAGAGCCATCTATGGACAGAGATATTTCACGAAAATATAAAAAATGAGTACTGCATTTTTTGTTCATTTTCCCCGGCGGCAATGGGTTAGTGTTAATGTTATTATCATTATTATTATGATTATCATTATTACTATTAGTAGTAGTAGTAGTAGTGGTAGTATCATTATTATTGTTGTAGTTGTGGTTGTTGTCTTATTGTTGTTGTTATTATTATTATTATTATCATTACTACTAACATTATTATTATTATTATTGTTATTATTATTATTACTATTAAAATTGTTATTGTTGTTGTTGTTGTTGTTTTTATCATCATTATTATTATCATCTTCATTATTACTATGTTTATTATTACTATTGTTATTATCATTTTTACCATTATTATTTCATTAATAATAATAATAATAATAATAATAATATTATTATTATTATTATTATCATTATTATTGGTATTATCATTTATTCATTATTTTTATTATTATCATTGGTATTGTTATTTTATTATTATTATCATTATTGTTATTATTATTACTATTATTACTATCATTATTATCATTATTATTATTATTATCATTAGTCTTATTGGTATTATCATTATCATCATTATCATTATTGTCATTATTATTTTCATCATTATGATCAGCAGCATCAGTATGATCATTATCATCATTATCATTATCATTGGTATTATTAATATTATTATCCTTATCATAATTATTATCATCTTCATTATTAGTATCACGATTACTATTATTATTGTTATATTTGCTAATATACTTATGATTATCATCATCATTATTGTAATTAATCATCATCAATTATCATTATCATTATTATTATCAATACTATCATCAATAACAGCGTCATTATTATCAGTATCATCATCACCCACATCATTATCATTATTATCATTTTCATTTTTCATATCTATTGCTCTTATTATTGTCATTCTTCTACTTCTTGTTATTATTATTATTGTTTTTAATATTATTATTATTATTATTATTATTATTATTATTATTATTATTATTATTATTATTATTATTATTATTATTATTATTATTATTACTACTACTACTGCTACTACTATTATCATTGTTGTTGTTGTTACTGTGGAAGTAATTGATGTTGTTTTTATTGTTCTTATTATCATTGTTGTTGTTTTTACAACATAAGCGTCTTATCATCATTGTGTTTATTGTCATTATTATCAGTATTCATTTTCCTTTATTATAATATAAGAATCTGTCTTATCGTCATTGTGTGTTTTATCATTTTTATCAGTATTTTTTTCGTGTTTTATGTGTAAAAAAATATATGTCATCTAATCTAACCAATTGAAATATTTATAATCCCTACCACCATGCATTTTAGGATTGGATTCTGGGCCACGAGGAAAGGAAATTAAAAGCATATATTTGAGTTAACTTAAATAAATCACACGTTTGCTCTGCCATATGTTGAAATGGTCATTGAAATTAGCGATATGTGCCGGATCTCGTTACAGCCAGCGAAAGGAAAATCTTGAAGTTTTATTAATGAATGATATAGAGAGAGAAAAAAATTATTTGGATTTTATGCGTTAGAAGTAGAATTTTGAGATTTTATATAAGGTAGATGACAGTAAGCATTTCGGTTCGAGTGATACACTTTTCTCTTCCAAATTAGTAACATCGAGAACTTGCATGAAAATAGTGTACATGTCACAATTTGCAATGAGACATACATACATACATACTTACATACATACATACATACATACATACATACATACATACATACATACATATATACATACATACATACATACATACATACATACATACATACATACATACATACATACATACATACATACATACATACATACATATATACATACATACATCTAGGAAAAGGCTTTATCGCAGTTGTCTAGCTTTGTTTTTTTTCTAAACTAGGGAATAAATAAAAATCTAGTGGCCAGAAATTCCAGGAAAAATTCAACTTTTCTGTTTGCCTTGGCTAGATTTTTATTTTTTTTTTAAGAAGAAGAAGAAGAAGGAGTAGATGAAAGAAGAAATGTTAATAATAGTAATAGAAGTAGCACTGTACTAGTAATAGTAATAGTATCACTACTAGCAATAGTAATAGTATCACTACTAGTAACAGTAATAGTATCACTACTAGTAGTAATAGTAATAGCAGTAGTATTAGTAATTGTAGTAATGGTAGTAGCTGAAGAAGAAAAAAAAAGAAGAAGAAGAAGAGAGAAAAATTAAGAAGGAAAGGAAGATAAGAGATAAAAAGGTTTAAAAAATTCATATTTGTAATATTATTGTTCATATTCATTTGTATTACAGTATTTGGCGATTCCCCATTGTGTTTTGCCTCTACCTAATATCTTTTGATTCATCATATAATTCCCTTTTACCATCATTCGTTTCTCTTCCTTCTTATCTCCTCATATTTATCACAGTTCCATTTTGCCTCATCCTTTTCTCCTCTTATATTTCTTTCTTCGCATCCTCATATGCCATAATTCCCTCTCGCCTTTTCTCTTTTTATTATATTGATATTCATTATTATATCTTTATTCCCTCTCTTAACGTAACTGTGTCTCCCCATCCTTTAGTTGATTTTCTAATTGCCCTCCATTTCTCTCCTTTTATTCATCACTGGTTTCTTCTTGCCTCGATCTTTTCTTCTCATTTACTGTCGTTCTCCCTATCAAATCACACTCCTTTATCTATGAACTCTCTCGCTTCGTTTATCATATTTTCGTCTTGACTTATCCCTTTCCCTCGTTTGTTAATTCTTACTTATCCTTATTTATCACAATTCTCCCTTATCTCATCCCTTTTCCTTCATGTACCCCGATTTCTCATTTGTTCTTTATTTATTTACCCTATGTTGTTATTCCTTTCGCTTTATTTTCTTCTGATTTATCGTAATTTCTCATCTGCTCATCATACTCCTCCCTTTGAATTAGAGATATCCCCTTGCCTCATCCATTCCCCTCATTTATCGCAATTTCTCTTTTATCTCTCGTCTCCCCTCTTTTGTCATCGCTTCCCACGCCTCATCCCTTTCCTTTTATACTCTTTTTCCCCCTCATTAATCTCACAATCCCACATGATTCACCCTTTCCCCTCATTCCTTTTTCGCCAATTCACTCTTGCCTCACCCCCTTTCCCCTCTTTTATCGCCGTTTCCCTCTCCCTTGCGCATCGCGACCGTCACCCCCGTCCGCGCAGGTCCAGTCGCTCACCATCACAACAAACATGACGGCGGAAGGAGACACACCGCACCCTCGACTTTACAATTTATGATGCTCTAATTTCTACCAGGACTCGTCTAGGACATCGGGGACACCGCGAGCCAG